GTTAGCCTTAATAGCTCACTGAAGCCAAGCTAACTGAGCTGACCTCTTTTCCTTTTTTAGTAAATAAAGTTTGTCAACAAACCCGTCAGCATTCCAGTTTAAATAAAGTTGTGTCTGTTTCTGCTGTGTAAATAAAGTTAAACTTGTCTGCGTTAGCTGTTAGCTATTAACGTGCATACCGGACTCCAACAGATAAGCGGGTCGGTGTCCGGGTCCTCCACCAGGGTCCACAATTTGGTCAGGAAGGCCGGGACGTTCCCGCTGCTCAGCACCGCCCCCCCTCCTCCGGGATATTCCATCTGAGAGACGAAAATCGAGCACACACCTGAGCTAACGACGCTAACTGCTAGCTGCGTCAGAAAGAAAACAACGAACTACGACTCGGGTCCCTGATCTGACTCGGACCGTGCCGGTTTGGTCCCGCTGCTGAACTCAGAGTTCCCCGCGGGGCTGCAAACAGACGTGCTGAACTTTATTTCACTTAGAGCAGCGACAACTCCGCAAATCCGATAAAACACAACTGCGCAGATAGCTGCCCAGCGCGGTCTGATGGCGTCAGCACAATACGTAACCCTAACGTTCTGTCGCGCTGTGATGTGATGAGCAGTAAGGCGGATTTTTTTTTTTATTAACTTCATTAGCAATTCAAACATTACAGATATAAATGAGCAAAGGAAAATGTCAGGGGGTTTCGTGTAATAACAATTAGACACAGGCTAATCACAAGATACCAAACAAGGAGCATACATTTATAGTTTTATTGCTTTTATATTATGGGAATGTTGTATAATTTTAAAATATTGTCTGGTTTCATTTATAAAGCATTGAAAAGACGGTTTTGCATTAGAAATTTTGGATTTATGTATATGAAATTTAGCCATTAAGATTAGTAAATTAATCAAATGAAATGTGTTTGCCCTATTTGCAGGGCAATCAAAAAAGCCAAACAATATTTTTCCGTAACAAAGATAAGATAAAAGAAACAACAAAAGCACAAACATCTCGCCAGAAAAGATTAGCGCATAAGTAGGATCAAAATAAGAGAGAAATATCTTTCTTCTGACAGTTAAAAAAAAATGAACAGTTAGCATCAATGTCTTTTTATATCGTACAAGAAAGGTTCTGGTGGGTTAAAAACGATGAATAATTTTAAAAGATATTTCCTTTAATTTCTTGGTTAACAGGAATTTCAATGGTATGGTCCAAATTTTCTTCCATTCCAGGTCCTAGTATAAATTATTCCAGTAAGCAACAGCCATTGGGACACAAGTTCTGTCTTTCTGAAACAGAGTTCTTATGCCAGGGTTGTTTTTCTTCTTTATAGTGGGAAAACAGATCTGTGTAACAGAGGTAACAGGATATGTATGTGTGTATATATCTATATCTATCTATATATAGATATAGATGTAGTTCCAAATATAGTATCTGTGCAGAGAAAAGTTGTGTTTATAAAGCAACGACCAGGAAAGAAGCATCTGGTCGTTGGCAAAGTTGGACAGTTTTAAGGGGATTTTATCAATATTGTAATTACAAAATAAAACAAAGACTAAAATTTATTTATTTATTTTTTAATTTGGAATAAAGTTCCAAATTGATGTTGGATTCCTGAGAAATTGTTTGATCCAGTTTACTTTAAACACATTGTTTACTGTAGAAAAGTCAAGAAAGTTTATGCCACCATGTTGGTATGAGTTGCATAAACTGCTCCCTTAATATAATGTATTCTATTCTTATAAAGGAGTCTGTCAATATCCACCAGGGTTTCTTTATTTACATCAAGAGACAAAGCAGCATAAGTCAATCGAGATGATCTCTCCGCTTTGGTGTGTAAAACTCAGCTTTTCAGAGATAAATCCTGTTGGAGCCAAGAATTTAGTTTTTTGTTGTGTTTTATGTCAAACTGGATTGAAATTGAATAAGTATCTGGTGGTTTGACTTTTATTAATTACCAAGGTAAGTGATCGACTCTTTCACTGGAATGCCAGCAATAGAGGGACTGGTAGAGTTTCTGAAGGCAAGCAGTTCACATTTACCGATGTTTAAGTGGAGTGCTGAAGCTACAGAAAAATCATCAGTTGTTTTAATGTCTATCTGCACCTGTGAAGCACTTTTTAAAAAGAGGGTGGCATCATCAGTAAGCTGACTAATGAAATTTTCTTTTCTGCAATTGTAATGCCTTTCAGGGGACTACGTTTAATATAGTCAGAGAGGAGCTGAGCACAGATGAGAAACAAATATAGGGAAATGGGGCAACCTCGCCTGATATTACGGTTCAACTTAAACCTAAAGGATGTACCTGCATGTAATTTGATGGAACAATTAGCATTTTTGTACATTGTTTAAATAGCATTCTGAACATAAGGGCCAAAACCAAATTTGTCCAAAGCCTGAAAAATAAAACTGTTCAATAGTATTGAACGCTTTACAGAAATCTATAAATAAGATAAAACTATCAACCCTACAAAAATCTGCATAATCAATGAGGTCAAGATGTTGTTGGATATGTGTCTGTTAGCCATAAAGCCAGTCTGAGTTTCATCAGTAATATAATTCAAAACAGCTTTCAGTCTTTTGGCAAAGATCTGTGCTGGATCTAATACTCATTCTTAAGAAGGCAGATCAGTCTCCAGTTGTCAAAATAAACAGGATCCTTCTTTAGCTTTTGAATCAAGTGTTAACAGACCTTCTGATAAAGTGGAGGGTTGGACAGACTGATTTATGAGTCTTTCAGTGTACACATTAAGAGGAAATGGGCCTAGTTGATCTGCAAAAGTAATGTAGAATTCAGAGATTAAGTCATCTGTTTCTGGGGAATTATTAAGTTTAAGACGTTGAATAGCAGGTAGAGTCAAAGGAGCTTGCAAAGAAAAGCGTCTGGACTTCTTTAAGTTACTTCAAGACGTTTCACCTCTCACACCAACAAACAAGAGGTCTAAATTGGGCTGCGTAAAAGTATTCCCTTAGGTTAGGCAAAGCCATCCCTCCCTTACACTTCGGGAGTTGCAATGTTGTTAACCTTGTTCTGGGCTTCTTCCCATCCCATATAAACCTTGACATCATCTTATCCCATATTTTAAATTTACTTTGAGGTATAGGAAGTGGGAGTGATTGATACATGTATAGCAATCTTGGGAGAACGTTCATCTTTATTATTTCGATTCTAGAGTAAAAACTTTGTAGGTATTGTTGACCACCGTTCTAAGTCTTTTTTGTTACCCTCCACCTGATTGTAGTTTGTGTCAAACATAGCAGATAATGATTTTGTCAAGGTTATGCCCAAATATTTCATGGTATTCAAGTGCCACTTTAGTTTTTTATTCATCTCTAATCTTTTGAGAAGGTGTATAGTTGAATGATAGAATTTGTGTTTTGGATACATTAATTTTGTAGCCCGATAAGTGTTCGAAGGTATGGAATAGTTGCATCAAAATTGGAAAACACTTGTCAGGATCTCGTAAGAAAACAATGACATCATCAGCAAATAATCCAATAAGGTGTTTTTGTCCGGCTAGAGTTACCCCCTCCATTAAGTTTGTTCTTAAGAGTAATAACTCCTGCCGATCTTTCTGATCCATTTGAAAACCATAGGTCATTGTCCCATTGCGTTTTCCAAAAAGCAGTATCCTTTTAAACAGAGTGTGATTCTTGAAAAAGATAAATAAAAAAAAGACAGTATTCTGTTGATTTGCAAACAAAAACAAAGCTTTACGCTTAACAGTGTCTCTTAAACACCTGACAATGGGAGAAAAAAATTGATATAGACAATGTGGCCTTAACACAAAATAATAAACAGTTTACTTCCCTTAGTGAACATAGTACTGACATTAACAACTTTTAGCCTGAACCTCAAAATTGTAGATAATCCCTTATGTGACATCTGTAACTTTATACCTCATCAGCGCAGGTGCTGCTTGATCCTCAGGCGAAGTGACCGTTGGGTGCACCTCCTTTCCCTCAATAATCACACGGACCCCGGCAAAGTGAGCTCTTTTTCCTTCTTTCCTTGCAGTGCTCTGTCAGCAGAGGACACATCTTCAGTGACTCTCAGGTAGTTTTTTCTTCAGGAAGGTGTAGTTTTTAGCTTTTCTCCAGATCTGGTCGCAAGCTGATCTTGTTGAAAACCGAATGATTACCAACCTTGACTTCTGATTTTTGTTGTAGCGGCCCAAGTGATGAACTACATCAACGCTGTCCCTAAATCCTGCACTAGTCTACCCGACAACGGCGCAGCAGGTGTCAAAAACCTCTGATGTTATTTCTGGAAACTGACAATCATGTTAAACCAAACATACCAACTGTACCCCAAACAAACAGAACCCTACTAGTGTTTCCTTATTTTTAAATTCTAACAGTGAATTGAAGATGCTCAAAGACATTATGGAGAGTTTTATTGATCGGGGTGAAAGCACTCTTCTGGTCAACAAGTTCACCAATAAGTCATCAAATGATCAATATGTTCATTACATCGATGGTTTTTGGCTGAACAACTATCAAAATATCTTGCATTTTATAAGGAGGTGGGACAACGGTGAATTTACACAGTTACAAGAACCAATTTCGTTTCACATGGTCATGTGGGACAGCAACTGGCAGGAGGACTCTTCATTCCACTTCAAACATCTGGAGCCCACAATCGAAAACAAAAACCCTCAAAACCACAACTACCACGATCTTGCTGTTGATGAAGAAGAGGATGAGGCTGATGAGGTGCTTCCAATGTATCTCTGCAGGAAGTGGTTAAGGCTGAAGACCACACCCCAGCCGATGGCAGGGTCCATGTTGATGAAACCATCTAGGTTCATCTGGCACTCTAAGGGGAAAACGCAGACCAGTATGATGACATCATAACTACATGGTAAACACGATTACACACGCTAATAACTGGGAAGTCATGTGACCTGCAGTGCATATGGGGGCGTACGTAGGGGGAGACATCTTCCACGATCCATCAGAGTTCCTCATGTGAGATCGGTCAGATGCGAAGTTCAACAGGAAGCTGTCAGCAGGAACCGCACGAAACTTCCTGGCAGACAGAAGGGGAAATTGTAACTATGATGTCACTCAGGTGTGTGTAGTTTCCTGTCATGATGCTCAGCTGTGTCTTACCTGTGGTATTCTGGTTTGATGTCACTCTCTGAGCGTAAGGCTTGGGCAGCGTAAAGCTTCAGGCTGCAGGGAAACGAGAGCGTTGAATCCAGATCATACACTAGAGAGTCCGATTGATCTGCCTGCAGCAGGATCACATGGTAGTCCTGAAACACAACGATGTTATCTTTAATGTCATTTTGACATTTGTGTTTATGTCTGTGTCTTATGTCTGTCTCTCACAGTATTAACAGTGACATCACAAACCCAGATAACTGGCAGGTCTCCGTGTCCAGACTTCTGCTTCCACAGAGGAACCTCAAAGGAGAACAAATACAGAACATCAGCTTTAGGACCTGACCTGAGATGTTTCAAAAAACCTAAAAAACCAAGTGGATGTTTTTAGAATGTGACAGAAGTTCATGTGTTATTGTACGGTCTTTACCTAAGAATATAAAGCACCTGGAGGCACC